TTCATCCTGGTTGCCCGCTTTGTTTCACCATATGCGTCTTCTCGTCCCGTTTCTCGTCAGCTCTCATGGGCAACGCTTCTGAACTGGCTGGTGGGGATACTTTTTTGGTCGCGGCCACCAGCGAGCGCGCAGGCGGCGAGAGAAGTCGTCCGGGCCGACGGGCAAACCTAATTCGCTACTGGGCGCGACTCAAACCGGCCGGGCCAGCTAACAAGGCGGCCGCTGGGGCAGCAGGGCGGCGGCTGGCTGGCTGAACTGGCACCCAGGGAAGCTCGAGCATCGTGCAGCCCAGAGCAAAATGCCAGGGAATTCGGTGTCACGCGCTGCGGCGTCAGACCACACGGGTGGAGGTGCGGAAGCAGGTGGGTGACCTGCACGTGCGACCCTCTCAAACATGGTGGTGGGGAAAGGCAAGGTAAACGATGGTCGAGTCGCGCTGGTGGGGATACGCGAAACGTGAAACAATTCGTCCTGTCAGACTTCAGAGCGTGAGGCATGGACAAGATTCGCCCAGGAGCGCTGCAAAAGGCACTGAAGAGGGTTCCCAGGGAGCTCCATGAAGGCAAGATATTCTAAGAGAGCCCCAAGACGCCCCTAGAGGGTCCCAAGAGCCGAGAGCCCCAAGACAACCCCAGACGGCCTCAAGACACGCCACCATGCAACGTTAAGCATGCTAGCTTTCCGAAGGGGGGCCCGCCGTCGCTCCCGCTCTGCGGGCTCAATTAAGTCGACGCAAGGTCTTGAACGTTTGGATTATGCTGAATGCCACCGGAATCGGACCGCGGCAGAAGGGCTCCGAACCGCACCGGCGGCGATACATCGGCGATGCGTCGGGACGACTGGGTCGGGAAGATGGGGTCCTGGACCGTGCCGCAGCATGGACGCATCGGCGATGCGGCGCGATGCCCGCGTCATCACCCGGCCGGCCCCGACCTTTGCCCTGGGGGTGAACGGAAGACCGCGGCTCTTCTTCGGCGGGGGCCCCTCGGGCTCCCGCTCCTCGCCCCCGCCGCCTGCCGAGGCGGGCCTGCCGCCGCCGGGCACGGCTGCGAGGAACCCTCCCCGGAAGTCCCGCAGCGGCCTGGGCACCGCCTTGCAGTAGGCCAGCCACGCCTTGTGCAGCTGCGTTGCCCAGGGCATCTCTTTCGGCACCGGCACCGGCTCCGCGTCGGAGGCGGCTCTGACGGTGAAGTCGCCCTGCCCATCCTCAACGACTAGGAACTCGCTCGGCTGGCTCTTCAGGAACGCCTTGAACGAGCCGAGCGCCTCCCTGTAACGCGCCGCCCAGTTCTTAGGGACAAATGCTTTTCCCTTCTCCTGCGCTCCGGGGGCAGTGATGCCAGTCCTGATCTCCTCGATGGCTTGTTTGATGAGATCGGCTTTGTCAGCCTCGAGGACCGCCGCGCCTTTCTTCTTCTTGTTCGGCGCAGCAGCAGCAGCAGCAGCGGCGCCGTCCTGAGCCGGAGTGCCATGCCCCGCTGTTGAGGCCGCGTCGCCCAGAGACGCCTTCCGCTTTGCTGCCTTCTTTACCAGGGGCTCTCCTTCAGCAGCCGCGACGGCCTTCGTAGAGGCGCAGAATGACTAGATGGCCGCGCTGCGGTTGATCGGGAGTTTCTGTATATAGAAGAGGGCGTGCGTTTCTAAACGAGGGGAGACGAGCTCTGGATTGGGACATGCCCCGGGCGATACCTGGAAGAATCGCTGGGGGCGCGGTGGGGCCATGGCTGTCTCGCGCGCCGGGGAACGACTTTGCGAGGATGTCTCGAGCGAGAGCCCCGGACTGGGACACGCCCAGTGCGATCACCGGAGACGGTCTCTGCATGGGGGCGCGGTGGGGCCTGACTGTTTCGCGCGCAAGGGGGTCGACTTTGCGAGGATGTCTCGACCAGGAGCCCAGTCGACTGGGACACGCCGGGTGCGATCCCCGGAAATACCGATCCGGCGTGTGAGTTTCAAGGAGTCTCAGCTACAGCCTCGAGGCTGAGCCTCAGTCTCTGGGGGGGTTGCCGGGGTGGCTCTGCCGGGGAAAGGGGGGTGGGGTGGGGGGGGGGGCGAGTTTCCGGCGGATGCGTTTTTTGACACCACTCACAAGGATCGTGGCCTCCGAGGGGGTCCGAACTCGAGTACCACCCCTCCCGCACCAAGAGGCTCCGAGGAGGCCTCCAAGAGGCCCCAAGGGGCGCAGAAGAGGCCCCCAAGAAGCCCCAAGAGGCTCCCAAGAGACCCCCAAGGGGCCCTCTAGTGGCCCCAAGAGGCCCAAGAGGCCCCCAAGAAGCCCCAAGAGGCGCTCAAGAGGCCCCCAGAAGTCCCAGCCAAACACGAGATCCCAACCAGCATCCATGAGGCTTCTGATCCACCACCCACGCACGGTGGCGGGATAGGCCGACGGCCACTGGATCCGCCGCCCCCTGCTTGCAGGGGTGCACGGCGTGCTGGATGAGCTGTTAGGTTTTGGTTTTGTTTCTTTTTCCAAAAGAACTCCCCAGTGGGCTCCGGCAGAACCCGCCACCGTGCGCAAAAACGGCCGTTTCGCTCGGGACATCCTCAAAAAATCGCGAAGATGGCCCAAGATGGCCTCCAAGTCCGCCCGAGATGGTCCAAGACGGCCTCCAAAACGGCCCAAGAGAGTCCAAGACGGCCCAAGACGGCCCAAGAGGCCCCCCAGAGGCCTCCCAGACGGCCCAAGAGGCCTCCAAGAGGTCCTCCAGGAGAGTCCGAAGAGGCCAAAATCATTGATTTTCCTTTGGTTTTTGAAGGATTTTGGCATTTGCGCCTTTTCGGCTCTCCGACGGCTCAAGACGGCCCAAGAAGCCCCCAAGATCGCCCAAGAGGCCCCCAAGAGAGCCCCCTGATGGCCCAAGTGGCCTCCAAGATGGCCCCTAGAGGGCCCCAAGAGGGCCCAAGAGGCCTCCAACACGCCCAAGATGGCCTCCAAGACGCCCAAGATGGCCTCCAAGACGGCCCTGGAGCGCCCCAAGAGGGTCCCCCGTTGGCCCAGACAGGCCCCCAAAACGGCTCCCGACGGCGTCAGACGTGCCAGGAACCCACCAAGATGGCCGAAGTTGGCTCGAAGCTGGCCCAAAAGGGCCCAAGAGGCCCCCAAGAGGGCCTCCAGGAAGGCCAAAAGATGCCAAAATCACTGATTTTCCCAAGGTTTTTGATGGATTTGGGCATTTCCCTTCTTTCGGCCTTCCGACGGCCCGAGACGGCCCAAGAGCCCCCAAAGATCGCCGAAAGATCGCCCAAGAGGCCTCCAAGACGACGACGATGACCATCAAGACGCCCACGTGTTCCCCGAAGGCTTTCCAAACCGATTCGGGGAACACATGGTCCGATGGCTTGGCAGGTCTGGCCTCAACGTTCGGCCACATAGGCGCTTCCACAAAGGCAGGGGGCGGCGGTGATTCGCCGTAGGCGTCTTCGATCCGCCGCCCCCTGCTTGCAGGGGTGCACGGCGTGCTGGATGTTTCAGGTTTTGGTTTTGGTTCTTTTTCCAAAAGAACTCCCCAGTGGGCTCCGGCCCGTCCCGCCACCGTGCCCAAAAACGGCCGTTTCGCTCGGGACATCCTCAAAAAATCGCGAAGATGGCCCAAGATGGCCTCCAAGTCCGCCCGAGATGGTCCAAGATGGCCTCCAAAACGGCCCAAGAGAGTCCAAGACGGCCCAAGACGGCCCAAGAGGCCCCCCAGAGGCCTCCCAGACGGCCCAAGAGGCCTCCAAGAGGTCCTCCAGGAGAGTCCGAAGAGGCCAAAATCATTGATTTTCCCTTGGTTTTTGAAGGATTTTGGCATTTGCGCCTTTTCGGCTCTCCGACGGCTCAAGACGGCCCAAGAAGCCCCCAAGATCGCCCAAGAGGCCCCCAAGAGAGCCCCCTGATGGCCCAAGTGGCCTCCAAGATGGCCCCTAGAGGGCCCCAAGAGGGCCCAAGAGGCCTCCAACACGCCCAAGATGGCCTCCAAGACGCCCAAGATGGCCTCCAAGACGGCCCTGGAGCGCCCCAAGAGGGTCCCCCGTTGGCCCAGAAAGGCCCCCAAAACGGCTCCCGACGGCGTCAGACGTGCCAGGAACCCACCAAGATGGCCGAAGTTGGCTCGAAGCTGGCCCAAAAGGGCCCAAGAGGCCCCCAAGAGGGCCTCCAGGAAGGCCAAAAGATGCCAAAATCACTGATTTTCCCAAGGTTTTTGATGGATTTGGGCATTTCCCTTTTTTCGGCCTTCCGACGGCCCGAGACGGCCCAAGAGCCCCCAAAGATCGCCGAAAGATCGCCCAAGAGGCCTCCAAGACGGCGACGATGACCATCAAGACGCCCACGTGTTCCCCGAAGGCTTTCCAAACCGATTCGGGGAACACATGGTCCGATGGCTTGGCAGGTCTGGCCTCAACGTTCGGCCACATAGGCGCTTCCACAAAGGCAGGGGGCGGCGGTGATTCGCCGTAGGCGTCTTCGATAAATGCTGAGTGAGAGGAGGGGAAGGAAAAAGAGAGGAGGGACGAGGGCGAAGAAGGATCACATCAGTCGGAGCGCCCCGGATCGGCGGCACTGGCCGAAGGCCACTACAATACGGGGGGCCTGGTGGGGCCTGGCTGTCTCGCGCGCCGGCGGACGACTTTGCGAGGACGTCTCGAGCGAGAGCCCTGGACTGGGACACGCCCGGTGCGATCACCGGAAACGGTCCCTGGGGGGGCGGTGGGGCCTGAGTCTATCGCGCGCTGGGAGTCGACGTTGCGAGGATGTCGCGGGAGCCCCAGACTGGGACGCGTGGGGCCTGACCTTCTCGCGCGCTGGGGTTCGACTTTGCGAGGATGCCTCGAGCGAGAGCCCTGGACTGGGACACGCCCAATGCGATCCCCAGACATTGTCCCTGGGGGCGCGGTGGGGCCTGACTGTCTCTCTCGCTGGGTGTCGACTGTGCGAGGATGTCTCAAGCGAGGACCTTTGATTGGGACGCGCCTGGTGCTATCCCCGGAAGTGGAATCCCAGGGGGCGCGGTGGGGCCCGACTGTCTCGCGCGCCGGGGGCGAGGATGACGTGAGCTCCACAGAAAGCTCCACAGAAACTCCCCAAGGGAGAGTATGACTCAAGGGACGACGATTCGCTCTGCCCCGCCGTGCCCAGGGACTCCGCTGGTGCCGGTGCGCGGCCCGCGGAAGCCCCGATGTTCCGGATCACGGTCGCTCAGTGGATGGCCGAACCCTCCCCCCCTCCTTCCGCCTCACTGACGGGGGGCGATGGAGGGGGAAGCATCGACCTGGAATCGGCGACACATCGACGATAGATCGGCCATAGGCCTCCCATTGTGCAGCCGCGAGGTCCTGGGTGGGGTGGACTACCAGGCCCCCACAGGCAATCAATGGGCGATTGGGTGTCGATGCATCCACGCCCCGAGACTACCCCGTTCAACATTGCCCACTGGCTGCCGGGTCTTATACATCGGCTCTCTGGCGGCCGCTCGGGACGATCTAGGCACCCCTGGGCGCCTCTCGGCGACGCGCGCTGCTGGAGAGAAACCCGAAACGGGAAAACCGAAGAGAACCAACGAAACCTTCCGAAGACCTTCGACCTTCCTGATAACCTCCCTCCATCCATCCTCCGACCGCCTTCTTCGCCGTCGGTTTGCCCTCGTCGGCCGCGGCGCCCTCCGCTAACCCTCTCTTCTTTTTCATGGCCGGCTGCCGCCGCCTCGGTCTGCTCGCCGACGCCAGGACTCGGGCCGAAACGACAGCAAAACGAAGGAGGGGGGAGGAATTCGCCGGCCCAACGGGCCAGAGGCGTGCTATGATCTCTTGTAGCCGGTTCACCAAGCACACGTAAATTCTAACTCACGCGCGCAGGGCGGCTGATGGGAGTCCCCAGGCGAGAAATACCCTGGTCGACCCCCTGGCAAGGTCCCGGCAAGGTCCGCTCAACGATGCCAGAACTCCCGGGCCGCCCGGGGGAGGTTTTCGGAGCCCTCCAGATCGCCCCAGGAGCGGCCCATGGAACCTCGAGGCATCTCCGAAGGGCCCACGAATCGGAATCACGGCCCAAGAGTGCTCCAAGACGCCCAAGATGGCCCCAAGACGGCCCAAGAGGCCCCAAAAGAAGCCCCAAGAGCGCTCCAAGAGGAGCACACAGCGGGCCAAAAACAGCACAATCTTTGATTTTCCTTGCGTTGTTCGAAATCCTTCGCGTTCCCGCGTCTTCCGGCTTCCGACGCCCCGAGATGGCACCAGAGGCCCCAAGCAGCCTCACAGGCGCCCAAGATCGCCCGAGAGGGCCCCAGACGGCCGCAAGAGGCGGAACGCGAACCACCAATTCGAGTTTTCCGCACGAAGAGGCCCCCAAGATGCCCCAAGAGGCCCCCAAGAGAGCCCAAGAGGTTCCGAGGCCCCGCGAGGTCCCCATTATTTTGCTGCTGGCTCAGTTCAGCACAATTATGTTCCGATTCGCTCGCTCCTGAAAGGAATGCCGTCTTGTCCTCGCCGGCCACAGTGACTGACAACATCCTGAACGCTGTGGCAGCAGGGAAGGAGACATAATGTTTTGCCTTGAGTCACATGTGGCACGGACGTACACAAGGTGGATATCGATCCATCAGTCCCCAGGGTGAAACACCAAAAGCTAAACCTATACGTGACATAGTGGGCCCCTGGAACATGGGCCCAACTTTCTCTAGGTTTAGCTGTCCCAAAATTCAATTCACAAGTCCGCGTCCACTGCCTGGCAGTGTCAAAAGCGACCTGCAAATTTTTAACATACGCAGCAGCAGAGAGAGAGAGGCAGAACTAGAGAGCATTTAATTGGAAAGCGGATTCGGAGGATAATGAAGGCGGAGGGAGAGAGGAGGAGGACGGGAGGACACCACCACCACCACCCAGGCCAGGAGGAGCCCTCTGGTCCAGGTAGTCGAGCCATGCGATCCAGGCAGGCTCCGACAGCATTCGTCGGGAGGCTGACTGAGAGCGATCCTTGAGCTCGGGCGTGTCCCTCCGACGACCGACTTCTTGAGCTTCGTCCACCAGACTGAGCTTGCCATTGGTCATCAGATCAAACAGCGCAGCGTTGCATTTAGTCACGTCGTCCTTGGCCAGGGCGCCCACGGGCATACGGCCATGGGGTATCCACCATATTCGGCCCCTGGCTCGCTCTAGGGACTCACAGATGATGGCGAGGTCTAGAGCAGTGCGCCTATCGCGGGCCGACGCATTCCCTTCCTTCTGGAAGGTATCATATATGGACTTGGCGCCCACCACGTGGACCTGTTGCTCCCTGGAACCCAGACTACAATCGCGTCTTAAGACCGTAGTGAAGGGCCCTGAGGCCCGCACACAATCAGGCATAGCAACATCTCTGAACACGACATCTCGATACAACACTTGAAGATACTCGACTTCCGCCACCGCAGCCGAGAGAGCCTGAGTCCCCCCGGCTAACGTCGAGGGCACCTTGCGCCGTAACTTACTGCTACGCCAACCGAGCACGGACGCTCTCACCACCTGGTTATCGAGAACAGACTTATCTGCGGCCAACACCATCCAGGCTCCCTGGGCGGGGTCAGCCGGAAGGCCGTTGTCGTCCTGGAGCGACTCTACAGATCCGACACCACCCGCATCTGAAAAAGAAATGAAAGACATGCGCTCGGGGTCTAGTTGCCAAACCGTCAATCCCCGAGAGGCTGTCGCCCTCAAGTGCCTCACTAACTTGTTGGCACACGACGCGTCCGACACCGTCGGAGCTCTTAAACGACTGGCCAGAATGCTTGCCACTCCGGCCGCTTCTGGCCGTGACTCTCGGCCGACCCAATTGAACTTATAGACCAGGGAACGCGAAGCTTTGAACTCGGACGGCTCGAGAGGGGAATTCTTGACAGACAAACGGCCCCGGGCCAGAGTCAGGGGGCGGATTTCTTCCAGGATGTATTTTTCTTGATCAATAACGGCCTTGCCGGGTAAGAAGGAAACGCGCCTACCTGCAAAATCTACTGAGACGGCATGACAATCTCGATACTTCCCGAAACGGAAACGGTCCTCCAGGATATGGCGAATCCACGCTCGGGCATCCGCGCCCGCACTGCCGATAAAGAAATCGTCGACTTCCAGCAACATCATGTTCTGGATGGCCCCATCTGCTCGATACTTCAACCACCAGCAGGGCTCCAGCTAACTCCTTTCGAACCCATGCCTTTCCAGATGGCCAACCGCAGTCCGACGCCAGGCCACCGGGGCATCGCCCAGCCCGTAAACGTTCACCAGCTAAAGGATAAGGGATCCAGGCTCGACGTCGATACCCTCGAAGGGTTCAACATAGATTTGGCCTTGGGACCTCGCCATTGGATTTGACTGGGTGAAGGCGTTCTTAACGTCCGCAATGTCACCGAGCATCCAGAAATTGACCAGTACCTGAATGAACATCATAATGGATGAGGCATGGGGAGTGGGTGCGTATACTGCGAGGGAACCAGAGTCGGGGTCCTCATGGCCATGCACACACCACCTGGACTTCGCCTCAGGTTCTACAAAAGTCCCCTCCACTGGCTTCCATCGGCGCACCATTCGGCTAGATATGATCCTGTCCGGACAACGTTGCCGGATCTTCGCCGCCTGGCTCGGAGGGATGACTCGGGCCCCCCGGATTTCAGCATGGCCTTCCATTCCTTGCTATCTGAAGCCTGGAACTTCTGGCGCTCCTGAGGGGTGAGCTTCTTGAGGGTCACTTCTCACCCGCGGCTAGCCGCAAATGTGCCGCCGTCCTGGGTGCTTCCGTACACGGCCCCAACAAACTCCTCGACATCCCCGGGAACAGCGGAAAGCCCGTCAATCGGTCCCGGGACCACAAAGAACTCGCTGGTGGCTTCTGCCTCGATCATTCCCTCCACCCCCCTGTTGCGATTGGGCGACCGAGACCTGACTCGTGCCTCGATGGCCTGAATACGCTCCTGAACGGACTGCCTCGGCTCGTCGCCGGTCCTGACAGGCCCCCGGGTCTCCAGGCCAGGTCCAGGACCCCCACCGCCGGAGGAGGAGGCAGCCCCACCGACCGGGTAAGGAGGGGAGGAGCCCGAGGAGGGATCGGTCCTGGCCCTCTTTATTTCGGGAGGCGCGCTCCCGGCCCTCGCAGCTCGTATGCAGGCTGGAACATCCTCCGGCTGTGTGAGCCGCCCTCTTGTCTCAATTAGGCCCCACCTCCTCTGGTGGAGACGGAGCGACAGGGGAAAGAGGACTAGGAGTCGCAGGCAAACAGGAGCGGGCAGGGGGGCAGAAAGAGGAGGAGACGGAGGAAGGAGGAGTCCCGGATTCTCCTGATCCCCTGGCTCGACCTCTGCGGATCCTGAGCTGACTCCTCGGGGCAGCTGCTGACTGGGGGACGGCGTCACTGATTCCCCTCTGTCGGAGGGAGCCAGCTCAGAGATGGTTGGCAACCCGGTCCTCCTGTCCGAGCCTGGTTGGGCCACAACCGATCCGGCACGAGAGAGAGACCCTCTAGATGGCCTCCGAGGAAGCCCGAGAGCCCCGACCACCGACGGAGGCCGGGGTCGATCCTCCGGTCTCGGTTCCTCGGCCGGTGTCGGCCCAGCTCCGGGGGCCCTTGGTTCCGGATCGAGCTCGGCTTGTGCCGCCTCGTCCCAAGCACTCTCGGGAAGGGGGCCCCTCGCGCTGGACGTCCACGGCGGTCACCCGCCTCGCTTGGGCAGAACGGAGCAGCTCCTGCCACCTAGGGTACATATTGAAGGCCGTGCTAACTTGCTCGGCCGAACATTTCCAGAGACGGGCCCGGACAGCAAACCACACCGTGCCGCCCTCGGCAAGCACCACGACCCCGGGACCCGTCCAGCCAGCGCGGCGGCGCCCTAGGGCATCGGCCCAGGACGACGTCCTGGTGAAATGTCTCCAGACGAAAACCCACTGGCCGGGGGTAAACCTCCTGGTCCCAGGGGTCCTGGCTCTGGTCGCCCGGGACAGCTTGTCTCGGGCCGTGGCTTCCATGGCGAGTCTGCGGGCCGCCGCTCGGATGGCGCGGGCCCAGGCAAACTCGGCTCCCGCCTCGTCCTGCTCTGAGGAGGGACTCATGACATCCTGCCACCCGGGCAATGCCCGTCGATCGTCGGACAGGAGCTCGTGCGGAAGCCGCGGATTTTTCCCGAAAACTAACTGGAGAGGCGAGAACCCGCCGCGATGCCAGAATCGGTTCTTATGCGCCACCAGCTCGAACACCAGATCATCTAACTCCTGGAGGGACGAGGGAAGCGACGTCCCTGACTCTAGCTCGATACGGACTCTGTCTTTAACCCAGCCACCGTGTCTCTCCACTCGTCCGTTCTGCCAGGGACTGTCTGCGTCGTAGACATGATGACAAACTCCCCACTGTTCCAAACCTCTGGCAAACCGAGCTCCAAACTCCGAGCCCCCGTCTGAGATGATCAGATGTGGCGCACCCAGGGGTCGGATCCAGGACCTCAGAAACTCGGACCAGACGGCAGCCGACGTCGCGGCCTCGACTCGGGTGACGACCTGCAGGTTCGACCCGTGGTCGACGATGTTGAGATATGGATACGTCGTACCTTGAAAGTCGAGGTAGAAGAGATCACCCCCCACAATGTGATTGAAACGAAAAGTTCTAGGCAACGCAACTCGACGATGGGCCCCCGACTGCGACCGTTCCGCGCATTCCGAACAAACAAAATGCTGTCGCACCCACCTCACCAAGGGCTGTCTGGTCCCGCCGGCCCGAAGAACCCGAAGAAACTTCCGATTATCGGGATGGCCCATGTTGCAATGCAACTTGTATATCAACCGTTTTTCGTCCTCAGTGGGCTCGGGATCGGGCTTCCCGGTCACATCACCTCTCGTCCTGTTCTGAGGGGGTGGTCGGGTCTCGGGCTCGTCGTCGCTCTCGTCCGAACCTTCGGGCTCGCCCGCGCCGCCAATTGCTTCCCCGGCCTCCGCAGCTCCGTCGGAGACTCCGTCCGCCAGCTCCGCCCAGGAGGACTGCCTGGCTCTGGAAGCTCCGGACCAGTGCTCGGCGACGGCCCTGGCAACAGTGCGCGCGAACGGGGGGGGGTAACATCCCGCCTTGGTGGTGACCGAGCCTCCCTCCAGAACAGCATGCTCGCGTCCCCCCGTGCAGAGATGACCGTCTAAGAGCCGTAACACCTCGGGGTGGTTAGACAAAATCCCCGTGGGTTTCTTATTGAGTCCCCGGTCGTCCACCTGCATTCCGAACTGGCACATGTCGAGCCGGATCCGCCGAACGCCCAGCAGGCCCCACACGCACTTAACCACATGCGTTCCCCAGGAGGAAGCATGAAAGCAAAGAAACGGCCGTGTCTAACCTGATAGTCGGCTATCCTCATGCAGAGGAAAAGGTCCCGGAGGCCGTCTCGCACTAGTGACCTCCAGCCCTCGGGGCCCATCCGATCCCGATTCAGCCTATTGATCGCCGAAATGGCCCGACACTCGGAACGCAACCAGATGATTTCGGGTCGATCGGTCCTGATCGTCTCCCAAAGGCGATCAACTTCTGATCTTTGAGCGGCGTCCCAGCCGACCTTGAGATCCCATGAGGCCTCCTCTCCCACGGGGGCCCCATTCTTCGTATCGGCGGGAGCGATCCTGGGAGGGGGGAACACCTCCATGAAGGCCACCTTGGATCGTCCCGAGGTGACCGACGCGCCGACAGAGAAGGTCCCCGGGAGGGCTTCAGTTGCCCTGGCTGCTGCCTCGCCGAAAGGGATGGTCAATGGGCTCTCTGGTGAGCCCCTGTCAGAGGCAGCAGCGCATGCACAGACAAGACGACTGCACCTCGAGCGCTGCTGCTGACCCAGAGCCCCTCGGCTCGGGCCAGCGACTAGAGAGCTAGGAGTGGTGTCCGAGGACACCGCTACATCTCGTCGTCCTCGTAGAGGATCTCCCAAGGCGGCGTCGCTGCCGTGGTCGAGATCGGCGGCCCGCCCTCGGGCTCCGGCGAGGAAGCGCCCGCCTGCGAGTTGTCCGGCTCCTGCAACGGGAGCTCCTGGTTCGCTCCAGCGGCGTTGGCCACCTGCACGAGCCCCATCACTGCCGCCCCGATTCCCACTATCATCTGCGCCATCTGGCCCATTGATTGCTCGATGTTGCCGACCGACACCGACAGGGTGCTCATCTGCTCTGTCAGGTAGTCGAGAGATTCTCCCATCGGCTCCAGTGTACGACGGAGTCGGACGAGCGCATGATGGATCTGCTGCAGACCCTCCTCCAGCTGACTGCTGGTCTGGAACTGGGCTTGACTGGCATAACTACTGCGCAATCTGCTCGACCACCTCCTGCACCTTTCCGAGGGATCGAATTCCCTCGGGGATCTGGCGCAACTGCAACTGTAGAGCGTTGAGGTAGCCGTTCAGGTCGTTCGCTAACTGCAGCGCCGCTGTCCCTGTCTGAAACACGGGATTCTCCTGCGTGATCTGCACCGTCCGCTCGGCGGCAGCCGCCGCCCGTCTGGCCGCCTCTGCCGCTGACTCCGGCCTCGCTGCCAGCCCGCCGCCCCGATCGCCACCGCTGCCGCGTGGCGCCCAGGTGAGCTTGCAGCCGCAGAACTTGCACTTCGTGCCCGAGCCGTACTGGTTGCCGTACGAGGTGGCCTGCGAGTGGTTGCAGTTGTTCACCAGCTTGGGCGGCGGCGGCTTGACTGGGATCGATCTCTGCTTCAGCGGTGTTGCTGCTCGCCTGGCTGGGATGGCTGCTGCTGCCGCTGCCGCCGAGATCGGAGCTGCCGCTGCTGCCGCAGCTGTCGGTTCTCCGTCGTCGCTCTGGTTCGTGACCAGCTGCATCGATATCTGGTCCTCGTCGCGACTGCGGGGAATTCCCGGCATTGCTCCCGGGGCCCCGGCACTCGGAGTCCCTCCGTGGCCTAGCAGCCGTGCCGATCTCGCCTTCGGCGGACCTGGGAACTGCCCCTGGGCTCCGGCCAGCCATGGCATCGGTGACGCTGCTGGCTGAGCGCTGGCGGCTGCCGCCGGATTCGGCCCAGGCGGAGGGCCCGACGGCGGAAGGGGAAGCCTGGAGTAGATACTGCTGGTACTCCATCGTCAAGATGGGCGCCCCGTCCGTCAGGTAGCCGGCCATTCCTCGGTCGGGCACTCCATCGGGTCCGGCGGCCGCCATCGCCTGAGCCCAGGTCATCAGCTGGGCGGGCAACTGACTTGGCACCCCGGGATGAGGAGGCGGTCCGCTCGGACTCGTGGTGGCCTCTGTAGGCGCCTCCACCGGCGTCTCGATCGCCCGGCTCCGCGCTGCCCTGGCAGCGTCTCCTCGACTGTCGCTGCCGTCGCCTCCCCGGTGGTCCTTAGGATCTATGTTTCCCAACCCTCCTGCGTTGGGTTCTCGTTTTGAATAGAGCACTGCGGTCTCCACCTTCCTTCCTTCCCGCCTCCTCCTCCTCTCCCCCCTCTTCCTCTCCTCTCTTGCTTCCCTTCTCCGCCTCTCTTCGCTGCTCCTCTTCTCTCTTGCATCCCTTCTCCTCTCTTCGCTCCTCCTCTCTTGCTTCCCTTCTCCTCCTCTCATCGCTCCTCCTCTTCTCTCTTGCCTTTTACGTCATCCCTTTGGGGCTGCGATCTGTGAAACTGTCGCCACTTTCGAGGGCTGCTGGTGGGTCCAGCGGAGTGAGGCACCACGCAGATTCAGATTAGACCTCGCCATCCCTGGGGGGCTGCGATCTGCGAAACCACTTTCGAGGGCTGCTGGTGGGTCCAGCGGAGTGAGGCACCACGCAGATTCAGATTAGACCTCGCCATCCCTGGGGGGCTGCGATCTGCGAAACTGTCGTCACTTTCGAGGGCTGCTGGTGGGTCCAGCGGAGTGAGGCACCACGCAGATTCAGATTAGACCTCGACTTTCGAGGGCTGCTGGTGGGTCCAGCGGAGTGAGGCACCACGCAGATTCAGATTAGACCTCGCCATCCCTGGGGGTTTGCGATCTGCGAAACTGTCGTCACTTTCGAGGGCTGCTGGTGGGTCCAGCGGAGTGAGGCACCACGCAGATTCAGATTAGACCTCGCCGTCCCTGGGGGGCTGCGATCTGCGAAACTGTCGTCACTTTCGAGGGCTGCTGGTGGGTCCAGCGGAGTGAGGCACCACGCAGATTCAGATTAGACCTCGCCATCCCTGGGGGTTTGATCTGCGAAATTGTCGTCACTTTCGAGGGCTGCTGGTGGGTCCAGCGGAGTGAGGCACCACGCAGATTCAGATTAGACCTCGCCGTCCCTGGGGGGCTGCGATCTGCGAAACTGTCGTCACTTTCGAGGGCTGCTGGTGGGTCCAGCGGGGTGAGGCACCACCCAGATTCAGATTAGACCTCGCCATCCTTGGGGGGCTGCGATCTGCGAAACTGTCGCTACATTCGAGGGCTGCTGGTAGGCCCAGCGGAGTGAGGCACCACCCAGATTCAGATTAGACCTCGCCATCCCTGGGCAGTTGCGATCTGCAGCGCTGTTCCTGGGGGGCCGCTCTATGGCTGCATCTCTACGTGATGCTGTGCAGGGCGACGACGATAGACAACCTATTGGTGGTGCGCGACCCCGGCCTTGACTTTCTTGCCCGCGGCCCACCAGCAGACTGGCGGAGAAAACTGCAGAAGTTCAGTTCCCGCACAGCAACGTGCAGGAAGGTGGCAGAGAAGCTTGCGAGAGAGCTAGATCTCGCTCGCTTCTTGCAATCGATATAAGCATGTTTGATCCTGTGATCAGGCAGCAGGCATGCGTTGTTCGAGCTCCTGCAACAACGAAGCAGTCTCTTGCTTCCTCCAACCTCTTGTAGCATCACCGCCCTAGTCCTCCTGTCACCCTATGCATTCACGCTGCTGCTGCTGCCGCGATGGCTCATCGCCCCTTCCTATTAGGTTCGTCAATCTCCTGTCCTTCGATCCAGCCCCCGCTATTGTTAACAAGCCTTGAGACATATTCCTCGTCTTATCGGTTGCTGTCCTGAAAGACGTGCAACATTACGTATCACATGTAGCTTGTACTACACATCGCCGCGCATGCGCTGTCATTGATCCTGCCAATGTTTCCCTACTCCTCTTGCCACTTGATACCATTGGGTTGGGTACGTCGCAGGGTAATTAGATCCTGCTACAGGATCTATTTTCAACGCCAGGATCTAAAAAAATAGATCCTGGTCACATGATCTATTTTTAAATGCAAGATCTATGTTAGTGTGCTGAAGTGCTGAATTTACTTGCACGCTTGATCATTATGTTTGTGTGTGTGTTCGGAAAACAAGATACTTATCCTTTTCACACCTCCCGCCATCCTCACCCGTCGACCTCTCGAGGGATCCCCCTCCTCGGCACTTGCGTGCGTGCTGGTGTCCCCAAACTGTGCTTGCACGGCCCCCCAAACAAAGCTTGTTTGCACGTGTCCCGAAGCAGTGCTTGCACGGCCCCCATACTAGTGCTTGCGCGCACTAGTCCCCGAACAGCGCTTGCACGAGGCTTGCGTGCACGCGATCTGCGTCCCCAAACAATGCTTGCGCAATTCTTCGATCGTCGGTCGGTCGTCGGTCGTCAGCCGTTTTGGCTTTGCGCCTCCGCATGGCGGAGGCGGAGGGGGCCGCGCGCGGCCCAAAGCGGGGCCGGCCGCGCAAGCCATCGAGCATGACCCCCGAGGCGCTCGAGGAGATCGCCAGCGCGCATTGGCAGGGCGTGGACTGGACTGTTCGACCGTCATCGTCGTAGGGGCGTCCGATCGACCGACCGTCGGACCGACCGACCGACCGTCGGACCGACCGACCGACCGACCGACGGACCGACCGACCGAGAACGGACCGACGATCGACCGACGACGAGGAAGACGACGACAACGACGACGACGACAGCCAAGGATCGACGGCTACAGCACCGACCTCAACGACTCGCCCGACCCAGAGGTCATCGCCAAATGCGCCAAGCTGCTCATAGACGTTCGCGAGGCGGGATCAAGCGGGGGCGGCGTCAACCAGAAGACGGCGAAGAAACGGATGCGGAGAGAGGAGGGGGGATAAGGAGAAGGAAGAGGAGGAGGAGGAGGTGGCGAAGAAGCGGCCGCGGAGGGAGGAGAGAGGAGGGAGATAGTGGGAGGAGGAGGAGGAAGAGGAAAAAGAGGAGGAGGAGGAGGAGGGGCAGGAGTCGTCGTAGTCGTCGTCGTCGTCGTCGTCGTTGTCGTCGTCGTCGTCGTCGTCGTCGTCGTCGTCGTTGTCGTCGTCGTCCTCGTCGTCGTCGTCGTTGTCGACCTCGTTGACCTCTTTATCGTCGTCGTCATCGTCGTCGTCGTCGTCGTCGTCGTTGCCGCCGCCGCCGTCGTCGTCGTCGTCGTCGTCGCCCCCAGGAGGCACTGCTCGGCGTCGCCCGCAACGAGGCGAAGTGGAAGCTCAGCAGCGAGGCAGAGCAGTGGGCCGACACGAACGGCAAGCGCATTCGCGCCATGCTGCGACACGTCAGGCAGGCCGTCCAGAGGCGAGCTTGGAGGGATGAGGAGGATGAGGAGGGGGCTGCGGGACGAGGGGGATGAGGATGGGATGAGGAGGATTTAGATGATAAGGACTAGTGGGAAGGAGGATGAGGAGGAGGAGGAGGAGGAGGAGAAGGAGAAGGAGGAGGAGGAGGAGGAGGAGGAGAAGGGGAATGAGGGGGATGAGGGACGAGGAGGATAAGGGATGAAGGGGGTGAGGGGATGAGGACTGCGATGACGTCATCGACGCCGTCATTGCAGATGACGGCGTCGATGACGTCATCGCACTGCCACTCAGCAGGCCCAAGGTGCCGGAGTGGGCGACCCCCTTCATCCGAGCTGCCGAGGGAGAAGGAGCGGACCGTCCTAGCGGCTTGGAGGACCTCCCCCTTCAAGCCGCCCTCGATCCTCGATCCTCTAACCTCCCATCGAAACCGCCCTCGAACTTCGATCCTCGAACCTCGGTCCTCGAAACTATCGAACCCTTCCTCGATCCTCGAACCTCGGGTCGGCATGGCTCGAGGGGTCGACTGGGGCTAGGTTGGGTCGGGTTGGGTTCGGCTCGAGCTGAACCCAACTCG